TTTCTTTACCCCTGCATGACAGGGGAACCCATGCCGACACCAGGAATAGAGCTGATGGGCTCAAAGGGGCCCCAGGCATAGGGCCTGAAACAACTAACAATCCTGCCCCAAGGAGGAAAGTGGGACACAATAAGGCACAAGGAACATCCACTGAGGAGAGGCAGCCGTGTTGAGACCTGGCGCTCCGCCAGAGGTTGGTGTAAAGTTGGTGTGTAGGGGAGGTGGAGCCCCAAGAACATCCTGTGAGTGGAGTGGTCATCCTGCGGGGACCTTTGAGGCTACCTCCCCCCCACACTGAAGTAACATTCAAAGATACGACAGGTGAGTTTGGGGGAGGCCAGAGGGACAACCGAAGCCCACCTTGAGGAATCCATGAAGCTAGACTTAAACTTAAATTTCCCCTACTACAACTTAGGACCGTTGCTCCTTGTTCTGTCATCTGCCACCACTGAGAACAATCCTGGGACAGAAGTTGCATAAACTGCTTTGAACCAAGTCAGTTAAGTCTGATACTACATTCAAGAAGGTTTATCTTAAACCAGTTTCAGCCATTTTGAAACTGGTTTATGTGCACTGAATTTCTGTTCTGTTACAGATTTAAACCAGTATCTGATCACTTAAACAGGTTTCTGTGTAACTTATGTCCCTAGCTGAGTCCAGACTCAGCCTTTCCTCATAACCAGGGATCTGAGTTGTCCATTTCCTGCAGAAAAACACAGATTTTCCCTTTTGATGCAGTTTCTTCTTTTGCAAACAAATCTCTGCAGGCTGGCAGAGTTCCAGCCTGCAAGAACTGCTTACAAAAAGGGTGGGAAACATTAAGACCTGCCCCGGGGGCAGGGCCTGAGAATCCTAGTTAGCCAGGGCTGGCTCAGACTCACTTTCCCTCCTGCAGTCTTTGGGTTATGTAGGGTTGGTGGGGTCTGGGGTCTGGGGGCATCTGGAGTACCCTCTAGCAGGGCTGGGGAGGCAGGGGGCTGTGGGTCAGGAATGAAGGGCACCGGCAGAGCTGGGGGGGGAGGGGCTGTGGAGCTGTGGGTTGCGTGCAACTCATGCTATCCAGACACCCAACTACCCAGATATCTCCTGGGAAGAATGCTTGGCCAGCTCAGATCGATCACAATCCTTCCTGACCAGCACCGAAGAGCTTTTTTTGACTCAGGCCAACTAGAGACAATGCACTTCTTGACCTGGTCCTGACCAAAGGGGATGACCTAGTGACCAACTTAAACATAGAGGGCAGCCTAGGTGACAGTGACCATGATATCATTATGTTCACAATCTGTCACAAGACTGACAAAACACATACCAAGCTTGAAGTCTTAGACTTCAAAAATGCAAATCTTAATAAGCTCAGGTCACTAGTAGAGAATGCCCTGAGAGACCAAGGCCCACAGGTAAAGGGAGCATGAGAAGAATGGTCATTTGTTAAGGACACAATCCTGAAGGCTCAGAGAAAATCCATTCCCTTACAGAAAAAAAGTAGCAGAAGGGTCAAAAAACCCTCTTGGCTAAGCAGAGAAGTTGCAGCCCTCCTTCAGAAAAAGAAAGAGGCATACAAACAATGGAAGTTTGGGACAGCCTCTAAGGAAGACTACTTGACAATGGCCCTCACTTGTAGAAACCAGATTAGGCAAGCTAAGGCAGAAACTGAACTAAAACTAGCTACAAGAATCAAGGACAACAAGAAGTCCTTCTTTAGCTACATAGGGAGTAAAAGGAAAACTAATGGCAGTGTGAGGCCGCTGCTCAATGCCTCAGAATATCTGGTCACTACCACTCAGGAAAAAACGGAACTTCTAAATGACTACTTTGGCTCGGTCTTTCACAAGACCAATGGGAACAACTTGCCAGGTAGGGCACAGAACAAGCAGGGTGGGATTGACACCATTCCCACCATTGCCATAGAACTGGTGTACAATCATTTAAAGAAATTAGACGTATATAAATCAGCAGGACCAGATGAACTTCACCCAAGAGTGCTTCAAGAGTTGGTCGAAGTAATCGCAGAGCCCCTGGCAGAGGTCTTTCAAAAATCACGGGCCTCTGAAGAAATCCCAGAGGATTGGAAGAGGGGCAATGTTGTTCCCACCTTCAAGAAGGGGAAGCATGAGGACCCGGGAAACTACAGGCCAATTAGCTTAACTTCTATTCCAGGGAAAATCCTAGAAACATTCATCAAAGAGGCTATATGTGACAAACTTGCAGAAGGCATGATACTGAATGACAGCCAACATGGCTTCATCGTGGGCAGGTCTTGTCTGACCCACCTCATTTCTTTCTATGATCAGGTGACTCATCACCTGGATGAG